CAATGGTTGCCATCCTTATCATTCATACCTGTAACAGGCCATGGATCTGGGGGAAGTCTCTGGGGTCCTCTAGATAATGGAGGATCCCACCATTTTCCTCTGATAAGCCATTGCCACCTTCCATCTACCAACCTTTTTAGGAATCTTATTTAGCTTTTGGTCTAAATATCCCTCTACATCTTTCTTATCTATAGGATATCTATATGAGTCTATTGTATATGCTTTAGGATTAATGGGAAGTCTCCAGTAGCCATACACTCTTTCTGCTCTAGCGTGCCTACAGCTTCTTGTAAATCTCTTACAAACAATTCCTTCTGCTGAAGTGACGTCATGAAACCCCCAATACTTTCATATTTACTTATGACTTGTCTGCTAGCCTCCATAAGAGGGGCTTTCAGGGTAGCACTTAACTCTGGTGAGTTAGTCATATTCTCATCAGATGTTGGAGTCGTCAACACTTTTAAGAAAGAGCCTTGAATAAGGGAACATTGAGCATGAGTAAGTACAATGAGCAGCAGGAACCGTAAAAGATTAATAGGCATTCCTATACAGTGAAGAAAAGAAAAACAGGAACAGAAACACATCTTTCCCAGGGGCTTGCCAGCCTTTCCAGGAGGTAGGCCTCTTTGAAGCCCCATTCTCTGAGGTAGACTTTGGTGAAGTCTCATTCTCAGAGATAGGTCTCTTTGAAGCCTCATTCTCTGAGGTAGACTTCGGTGAAGTCCCATTCTCTGAGGTAGGCTTCTGTGAAGCCCCATTCTCAGGTCTGAAAGCAGGTTTCCCATGCTAAGCAGACTCCACCGGAGTAGGCGTGGCACTCTACCACTTGAACCACAGCTCTACTTCCATCTTTTTGCTGGTTAATTGGGAAAAAAGGGTCTCTCAAACTTTTCCACCTGGGCTGGCCTCAAAATGGGATCCTCAGATTGTAGCCTTCTGAGTCACTCCTAGAATTTCACACTGACTTGGGGTTTGGCCCAACCAGGGAGACCAGACTTAACCACAGCAGCATTTATTGAACACCACATATATACATACAACCACATCACACGTTCACTGTACAGTGATTATTGAAGGTGTCAACTCAAGGTTGATATCCTTGTCCTTGTTGTGGAACTTGAAAAACAATGAATTAGCCAGGTGCTGGTAGCTCCCACCTGTAATCCTAGCTACTCAGGAGGCTGGGATCTGAGGATCACGGTTCAAAGCCAGCCCTGGCTAGAAAGTCCGTAAGACTCTTATCTCCAATAAATCACTCAGAAAACTGGAAATGGTGCTGTGGATTAAATGGTAGAGCGCTAGCCTTGAGCTGAAGAGCTCAGAGACACGGGCTGGGAAGGTGGCTCAGTGTTCGAGTGTTTGCGTTGCATGCTTGAGGCCCTGGGTTCTATTCCTCAGCACTATATAAGCAGAAAAACATGGAAGTGGCACTGTGGCTCAAGTGGTAGAGCACTATCCTTGAGCTGAGGAGCTCAGGGACAGCGCCCAGGCCCAGAGTTCAAGCCTCACCACCAACCAAAAAAAAAAGAAAAACAATGAATTTTTTCCTGGAGTAGGGTTGGGAGGAGGGCGGGGGGGGGGCGGCGGGGGGAGGATGTGGCTGGTACTGGGGCTTAAACTTGGGCTAAGGGCTTCTCACTCTCACTTGGGTTTTTCACTCAAGGCTGGCTTTATACTACTTGTACCACGGTTTCACTTCCAAGTTTTTGCTGGTTAACTGGAGATGAGAGTTTCCCAAACTTAAGCCAGGAGCCAGTGGCTCATGCCTATTATCCTAACTACTCAGAAGACTAAGATCCTAGGATCAGAATTTGAAGCCAGCCCAGGCAGGAAAGTCTATGAGACTCTTATCTCCAATAAACTACTTAGAAAATGCCGGAAGTGGTGCCATGGGTCAAGTGGTAGAGCGCTAGCCTTGAAGACAAAGAGGCTCAGGGACAGTGCCCAGGCCATGAGTTCAAGGCCCAGGGCTGACCAAAAAATTGTTTCACAGATTTTTCTACCTTGGCTGACTTCAAACTGTGATCCTCAGATTTCAGCCTCCTGAGTAGCCTGGCCTGAGTCACCAGCGCCTTCTTCAAGGCCAGTGCATTGACCCACTTTTTTTTTTTTTTTTTTTTTTGCTTATGTGGTGCTGAGGAATCGAAGCCAGGGCCTCAGGCATGCAAGGCAAGCGCTCTACCACTGAGCCACCTTCCCAGCCCCAGGGTGGTGGTATTTTAGAGATGGAGTCTTAGGGACTTTTCTGCCTAAGCTAGCCTCAAACTACCATCCTCCAGACCTCAGCTTCCTGAGTAGCTATGATTACAGGTCTGAATCACCAGCACCAGACTTGAAAGATTCTCTGAATCTTCTTTCACACAAGAGCATATAGAGGGCTGGGAAGGTGGCTCAGTGGTAGAGTGCTTGCCTTGCATGCATGAGGCCCTGGGTTTGATTCCTCAGCACCACATAAGCAGAAGAAGCCGGAAGTGGTGTTGTGGCTCAAGTGGTAGGGTGCTAGCCTTGAACTGAATTGCTGAGGGACAGCGCCCAGGCCCAGAGTTCAGGCCCCACGACCAGCCAAAAAAAAAAAAAACATATAGCAAATTACATTTTGTTTTGTTTTGTTTTTGTTGGTTGTGGGGCTTGAACTCTGAGCCTGGATGCTGTCCCTCAGCTCTTCAGCTCAAGGCGAGCACTCTGCTGCTTGAGCCATAGCTCCACTTCTGGTTTTCTAGTGGTTTATTGGAGATAAGAATCTCATGGACTTTCTTGCCTGGGCTGGCTTTGAACTGAGATCCTCAGATCTCAGCCTCCTGAGTAGCTAGGATTACGGGCATGAGCCACCGTCGCCTGGCTTCTGGGTCTTTCTGTTGCAATGCATGTACTCATTCCTTCTAGCAAAAGGTTTCACCTGGGTATCAGAAACCCCAAAGGACACTCAGTATTCACCAGCACACGCTCCTGGAGCTCAGCATCTCTGCACACACAGGTTTAGTGCCCATAATACCCTTGGTTCTTCTCTGGGTGATTAGTGGAAATTTCAAGACATTGGAAAAGGGACAGGCCTGGGTATCCTTGCTCTTATTGAATCTGGCATGAATCAATACAATGCCATCAAGTGGTGACCAGCTGGATTAAGCATCTGTCTTCCAACTGAACTGTGCCTTCCTCAGGTTGGCCACTTCTCTGTAGCCTCAACTATAAGGTGCCAGGTGCCTCATTTTCCAGATGCTTTGGCTAGTCTGTGACCTCTTTCTCCTCTAAGCTCATTTCTGCCACCAGGGGGCACCCTCCCATGAGAAATAAACAGGCTCCTGTGGCTGCTGTTGGGCCAAGTCACCTTTCCTCTGCCCTCCTCATCTGCTACATACCCACTTCATTCCTGTGCATCTGGCCTCCCCCACCTCACCCCCAGAGCCCCAGCTCTCTCCTCCCTGTGGACTTTTGCACTTATATGCATCTCTTCCAAGGAAGCCTTCCAGCCTGGGGGCTCCCCAGAGCTGGATTGGTCACCTGTATGATGATAGGTCCCCAGGATTGGCTAGCTGAGGGTGTCTAGAAGTGCTCTGGAAGTTCTAGAAAATGCTGAGGAATTTTTCAGATACAGGAACTGAGGCACAGAGGCAACTTGCTCAGGGCTACTCAGGCAGGGCAGTGGGCATTATTAGAAGTAAGGCAGAGCCGGGCGCTGGTGGCTCACACCTGTAATCCTAGCTACTCAGGAGGCTGAGAACAGAATCATGGTTCAAAGCCATCCCAGACAGTAAAGTTTATGAGGCTATTATTTCCAATTAACAACAAAAAACAAAAATAGAAGTGGACTGGGCTCTGGTGGCTTATGCCTATCATCCTAGCAACTCAGGAGGCTGAGATCTGAGGATTGAAGTTGGAAGCCAGCCTGGGCAGGAAAGCCTGTGAGACTCTTGTCTCCAATTAATCACAGAATAAACACAGAAAAAGCCAGAAATGGGGCTGGGAAGGTGGCTCAGTGGTAGAGTGCTTGCCTTGCATGCATGAGGCCCTGGGTTCGATTCCTCAGCACCACATAAGCAAAAAAGAAAAAACCAGAAGTGGCGCTGTGGCTCAAGTGGTAGAGTGCTAGACTTGAGCTGAAGAGCTGAGGGATAGCATCCAGGCCCAGAGTTCAGGCCCCACGACCGGACCAAAAAAAAAAAGAAAAGAAAAAGCAAGAAATGGGCTGGGAAAGTGGGTCAGTGGTAGAGCGCTTGCCTTGCATGCATGAGGCCCTGGGTTCAATTCCTCAGCACCACATAAGCAGAAAAAACAGGAAGTGGTGCTGTGGCTCAAGTGGTAGAGCGCTAGCCTTGAGCTGAAGAGTTGAGGGACAGCGCCCAGGCCCAGAGTTCAGGCCTTACAACTGACAAAAAAAAAGAAAAGAAAAAGCCAGAAGTGGGAAGTGGCACTGTGGTTCCAGTGGCAGAGTCCTAGCCAAAGGAGCTCAGAGTGCCCAGGCCCATCGTTCAAGCCCCAGGACCAGCAAACAGACAAACAACAACAAAAACAGAAGTGGGTCTGTGACTGAAGTAGTAGAGTATTAACTTTGAACAAAAGTGCTCAGAGACAATGCCCAGGTCCTGAATTCAAGCCTAGGGCCAACACACACACACACACACACACACGTAATCATAATCATAAAAGACAATTGGGGAGCCTAGCCTCTAGGCCTCTACTTCCCCTCCATCCTCAGTGAGAGGTACTGGACCTTGAGCAGCCCGGGACACTGCAGCTTCTCCGTGTCCCTACAGGGAAGAATGGACAGGAGCCAGAGGGAGTTTCAGCTTTTATTGAGGTCACATAGAGTAGGTTACCCCTTCCTGAGCCCCTGGGGGAAGTGGATGGCTGGGGTGGTCACAGGACACTAGGTGGACACTTGCTAGAACGGACCTTCGGGAAAGATAGATGCTCTCTGCCTGAAGTTCCCCACTTAGGACGTGCAGCCTGCCTGGGCCTGCTGGTCAGCGGGTGAGGGTGGGGTGGGGGTCGGGTCAGCCCGCAGTCCCTGCACTGCGCAGCACCGTGTGAATCCAGTCTACGTAGAGTGACACCCGTGCAAAGAAGTCGGGGAACTGGCGGCTGGCACATTCCCGGATCACGAAGGAGTCCACGCCCTGCAGGACCCCGTCACACACCAAGGGGCCCCCCGAGTCTCCCTGGGAGGGGGAGATAGAAGGGTCAGTCCCCAAGTCTAGTCCTTGGCGACCCAGAGGCTAGATCGGTAGGGACTGTCGGTGGACCGCAGCTGCATTTATTAGTCTGAGCGGGCACCCACAGTCTCCCCCGGGAGGGGCTCCCAGACCACGATGGGGGAGGGGACTGAGGCTGATCCACTCGCTCTCCTGCCTACCCGCTTCACGGGGTGATGGGCATTCATCCAATGGGGAAACCGGAGCTCAGAGTGGCTCTGGAGCCAGAAAGTGGGGCAGAACCCAGGCTCCCCTGCTCCCTGAACCCCTTCCCCTCTTGGGCTCCACTATGTCTCTCTCTCTCTCTCTTGTCGGTCGTGGGGCCTGAACTCTGGGCCTGGGCACTGTCCCTCAGCTCTTCAGCTCAAGGCTAGCCTCTACCGCTTGAGCCACAGCGCCACTTCCGGTTTTCTGGTGGCTTATTGAAGAGTCTCTAGGACTTTCCTGCCTGGGCTGGCTCTGAACCTTGTCCTCAGATCTCAGCCTCCTGAGTAGCTAGGATTACAGGCAAGAGCCAACAGCGTCCAGCCGGCTCCACTATTTCTAAACCTAGGGCACAATACTGACTCTGAGGCTCCTCCTTCCTGGAGCACGGCCCTCTCCTCGACCACGCCCAGCCCCACCTCCCGGAGATGGTGCCCCGCCTTCTCCAGGACCCAATCCAGACGTTCCTCCTCATAAGCTCCACCTTTTTGGCCACGCCCCGGTCTCCATCACCGGGAGCTCCCCTCCCGGCCACGCCCTCTTCTAAGCCACGCCCCTCCCGTCTCCTGCCGTTCACGGCCACGCCCTCTCGTGAGACCATGCTCAAGCCCCATCTCCTGCAGCCTTTTCCGGGCCATGCCCTCTCCGAAGCCACGCCCCGGCCTCCCTGCTCCTGGAGATCTTGCCCTGGCCCCGCCCTCTCCAGGGCCACGCCCCCAGCATACCACCTCCCAGAGCTCCTCCCTCTCCAGGGCTCCGCCCCCGTGCCCGCCTCCTGGGATACTCACGAAGCAGATGCCCGCGCTGCGGCGCGCCACCAGCGTGCACACATTGTGCGGGCGGCACAGGAAGGTGACCACGGTCACGTTCAGCTCCTGAAGCACGCGGGACACTGGCGCGCGGGTGCCCAGGCGGCCCCAGCCCATGGCCAGGCACTGGGTACCTTGGGACAGCGGCTGGTCCTGTCGTGGTAGTGGAGCCACGGCCACTTCGGCACTGAGGGAGGCCGGGCGGTCCAGCTGGGGCAGAATTCGAGGCTGACAGCTTGTCCCCAGGCCCAGTGGCCTCCTATCACAGCATCACCCACCTCCTGGGCACCCCTCACCATGCCTTCTCCACCCATACCCCTTTCCCAGGAGTTTTTCACCTTATTTCCTACACCCAGAACCCTCAGGATTGCAGAGCACTGACTGAACATTGTATGCTCAATTTTATAATAAGCTCCAAGGCTCCAGCAGACACCGGCTCACACAAACTCTGCTAGGAAAGCTACATTTTCGGGGTCAGGACTGTGAAGACCTGGTGAGCTCACCACCCTGGGCTGGGCTGACAGTGGTCTAGGAGTCAGATTTTCAGCATTACCAGAAGGTCAGGTGTGTTGAGAGAGCCATGAATGAATGGGAGGACTGACTGAATGCCCATCCCGTTCCACAGGTCCCCATGGTGTCCCTATCTACCTTTCTCGTGGCCTGGCATACAGTAGGTGCTCAATAAATGTTCAGTGTATAGATGAAGCACACACTCCACCTTCCCACCTGGATGATCATCACATCATTGAGGTTATCCTCAGGGTCATAGTTGTTCTGGAAAACTTGGGTGATGGTGAACTTCTGCTGTACTGGCTCCAGGTTCTGCAGGTCGTGGGCCCCCAACACCACTGTCACCAGGTGTGGGGGGCTGGGAGAAGTCAGGGTTTTATTTCTTCATCTCTGTGTTTCTTTCTATCCCTCCCACTAGGATCAGCTTGAGAGCCCTCCCTGGGGAACCCCCATACTGCTCCAAGGTCCCAGCTGGTAGGCTCAGGGGAGAGGAGAGACCAAACCCAGTCCATGTTCCCCCTCCCCATATCCCACCCACAGGCAGGACTCACATGTCCTGGAGGCAGTGGGCAGCTGTCAGCACAAAGCTTGGATGGATCAAAGTCCCTCCGCAGAAGTGGCTACCTGGGGTCCTGCTCAGCTGCAGCGATGCCACATAGGGTCTCGAATGGGGCCGGGCCTCCCGCCCACCCACAATCTGTGCAGCCTTGGCTGTACCTGAAAAGGTAGATGTCAAAGACTGTGGCCCAGCAGGGCTGACTCCAGGGATCCCTTCCCTACTATGCTGTGTGACCTCAACCAGGCCCTGGATCTTTCTGAGCTTTCTTGTCCATCCCAATCTGTATAACAGAAACACTGTCTGGAAATCTGCCCCTGAGACTCTGTGCCTAAGGAAGGGCCGTGTGTGTGTGTGTGTGTGTGTGTGTGTGTGTGTGTGTGTGAGACATCTGTGTGACATCCTGGAGCTTGAATTCAGGTGGTGGGCATTGTTCCTGAGCTTTTTCATTCAAGGCTAGTGCTTTACCATGTAAGGTACAGCTCCATTTTGGGCTTTTTAATTGGAGATAAGACTCTCACAGCCAGTGCTGGGGAAGCATGCTTGTAATCCTAGCTATTCTAGAGGCTGAGATCTGAGGATTACAGTTCAAAGTGAACCCAAGCAAGAAAGTCTGTGAGGGGCTGGGAAGGTGGCTCAGTGGTAGAGTGCTTGCCTTGCATGCATGAGGCCCTGGTTCATTCCTCAGCACCACATAAGGAGAAAAAGCTGGAAGTGGCGCTGTGGCTCAAGTAGTAGAGCGCTAGCCTTGAGCTGAAGAGCTGAGGGACAGCGCCCAGGCCCAGAGTTCAGGCCCCATGACCAACAAAGAAGGAGGAGGAGGAGGAGGA